ACTCATTGCAAGCAGCAGTTCCATTTCATAGGCCTTGCCTCCCCTGAAGATAGTGTTTCATTTATCCTGGGCCTGGTGATACCTAAATTTAACTTCCTGAGAAGGCTCACCTAGAAGAAGCCTCTCCTCAGAAATGGATTGGCCGTGACTTGGGGATCGGGGGAAGAAAGAAGAAAAAAAAAAAAAAAGGAAATCACCAGCTTAATACGCTTCCTTTTCTTTCAAGGCAAAAGCCTCAGTTCTACACAAGAACTGAGAGAGTGCTGTTTGCAAGATATAGTATTCATAGAAGCTTAAAAAACCTATTTCAAATGCTGTTAATGATACATTTTTGGATAAGTTGCTTTATTCTTCCTTTATTTCTGCAGATTTGCCAATGTTATTTATACATGCTGAATTATATTATAGCATATTGTTTATTAGCTGGAAAGAGTTCAGAGGAGGGCAACACAGATGATCCAGGGTAATGAAGCCCTGTGTGGAGAGACTGAAAGAACTGGGCATCTTTAGCCTCAAGAAGAGAAGACTGAGGGGAGATATGATAGCATGCTACAAGTACTTGAAAGACTGTCACAAAGAGGAAGGACAGGCTCTCCTCCTGATCATCCCAGAGTGCAGGACACAGAATACTGGGGTCAAGCTGCAGAAAGTCAGATTCTGGTTAGATATCAGGAAAATTTTCCTGATTGTTATAGCACTACAAGAATGGAACCAATGACTTAGGGAGATTGTGGGCTCTCTCACAGCAGAGGCATTCAAACATCTGAGAGGGATGTTTTAACTTGGGAGTCCTGCACTGAGCAGGGGGCTGGACCGGATTGCCCTTTGGCCCCTTCCAACTCTAGTCTCTGATTCTGATTTCTATTATTTGTGCTTATTAAAATGTTAGATGGTTCCAACACTTGCAATATTATTTTTAATAGTCATACTGTCATTGATTTATTTAAAACTTTTTTAAGACTGTCCCTTACCGAAGTCTTGGGATGGTTAACAGTAAGACAAAAATAAAATAAAATAAACAAAACAAAACACAGCATCCTGAACACATTTTTTTGGTCCAGAAAGTTGTCTTATATTTAAATAACTAAGTAGATCTAAACCAAATATAATTTGCCCTTTCCTAAGATAGCTACTGAAACATGGCCTGACCAATAGCAAATTAATGCCCATCCCTTAAGGTGGCTCACTTTAAGATAAAAAAATGCTAAGAGAAAAGCCCATAAACAAAAACTGAAAAGTCCATCCTTATCCTGTCTTTATGTCACAAACTTCATTTCTATCCCCTCATGGTCTCACACTTCAGCTCTCACCAATTCTACCCAGTTTATATCAGTCACATTGTAGAGGATGCTGGGCATACAGAAGAACTGATGGTAAAGAGCATGGGTCCTCAAACTATGGCCCATGGACTGGAACCGGCCTGCCATGCTGATTTATCAAGTCTGCCTAAGAAAACGATCTCTGAGTGAGTCCAAAAGCTCTGAGTCAGCGCAGGCATACTCAGTGGGGAGATGGCTGTGATCACAGTCACACTCGTGCAGGGAAGACGGGCACGACTGCAGTTGTGCTTGAGGGAGGAGGGGAGGGGAGGGGAGGGGAATGGCTGCGGATGTGCCCACTTTCCCTGCACAAGGACAATCACGTCCATCTTCCCCACCCCAGTGTGATCGTGCCCTTCTTCCCCCTGCCCCCAGCATGATCGCGGACATTGTAGCTATGTCCCTTGAATATGGATATGCTCTTCCCCACCTCATCTGGGGCTTCTGCTGTAGCCCAAGCGAGCGGAGCAAACATTTTTTAATTTTTTAACTTTTCAATTAAACTGATCACATTATTCTGCTCACTTCTTAATGATTATGTCTAACTAGTATGAGTTGGGCAAGAAAGTGGACCCCATTACACATGAATTTGAAGTAGCTGAAGGGACTGAAGCCCCTCCACTAGTCCATGAGTAGGCTGAATCACCTAAAGAGAGAGTGCATGTGTGAGGAATTTCGAAGAAGGGGCACCCCAAATTCAAGGCCAGGCTATCTCATGCCCATCCTAGCCACCCAAACAGTATTAGGCAACATGATCAGGTTCTTCTTACATAAAAACTGACCTTCTACAATCTTCATAAGTGTTGTGTTTGATTAAATGCAATCATTAAATCATGCAACTACCTTTAATTAATATTTCACATAATATCAAGATTAGATTGATTATACGTTCTCTATCTATGCAAATGCAATGTTATCTCCAAGTTAGTTTTCCAAGCATTTGAGAAAACCTTTCTCTGTGTTTAGAAGCTTGCCAGTTCTTTGTCTATTTGGAAGCAACTTGCTTCTCTGTCCATCTTTAGTTTAAAGATAGTAAAAATTTATCCATTCTAGTTACATCCCTCCTTTTTCATTTATTCAATCCTAGAATATCACCTAATATTAAACTATTCTCCTCCTGTCCTAATATATACCTGTATTTTCCCCAACCTTTTACAACACATTGAATACAACTCTGTTCTAATACAGAGCTCTTTACCATGTTCCTTTGCCACTTAGGTGGGCCCAGGGGAAAGTGCCTTCTCAGTTGTGATTTCAAGGCTATGGAATGAAGTAGCTGGAGAGGTTTGTCTGGCCCTTGCAGGGTTTGCCTTTTGGGAGGCAGTGTAGTAAATTTTATTCTAGCAAGTGTTTCCATAATCTGCCCTCCTTTATATATTCTAACTGCTGCTATCTCTACTTCATTGTTCCTGCATTATTTTTAATGAGCTGCCTTAAGTACACTTGACAAATTTTTCCTAATTAAAAAACCCAATAATATACTGTTCTCATCTTCTCCCATTCCCAAATAAACTTCATAAATATTTTCTATCACTGCTTAAAATACTCTAGCCCTTGCACAGAATTTATTTTTAGCTGTATTTTAATACAGTATTTAATTGATTGTTAACCAGCCTTGAACATAATTCAAATATTTTAAATAATTTATCTAGAATGCTTATATGTATATTCAGACCTATTTATAATAAGTAAATTAAATCTTTAGATTTTCAGTAGTAGTAATCTATCTTTAGTCCAGAATCTGTTCCGTAGAAAAAAAATTGCTAGTAACTGGAGCAGGCAGATTATTTTTCAACAGTAGTCTAAGAAAACTACACCATTTGATTCAAGAGAAGAGTTAAAGTGTTTACCAATTCACTTAAGTATAAAAATTCCAATAATAGTAAGTTAAGGATTCCATCTTAACTTCTTCACCATGTATGACACAATCTCATACTATTCTATGCTAGTTTATCATTTAGCCTCTGCGCATTCTGACTTCCCAATGGTTTTTCAGCTCTAATCTCTTCCTCTTCTTCTCCTTCTCCTTCACAGAAGAACAGGGAACATGGAAGGAACACAATGAGGAAACATGGAAGCTTAGTAAGTAGGCCATAAGGACTTAACTGCACACTGCCTCTCTGCTTTCCTTTTATCTGTACATAAAAAGAGAAACATCAAAGGCAAAGGTGACCTACACTGATAAATAAGGCAGAAGAACTACTAAAAATAAAACCCCAACCTTTGCCACTTTTATGTACTGTATTATTACTTACATTAATTTGGCTCTAATCACACCAAATAAATCAGGGGTCCTCAAACTTTTTAAACAGGGGGCCAATTCACTGTCCCTCAGACTGTTGGGAGGCCAGACTATAGTTTGAAAAAATATGAATGAATTCCCTATGCCCACTACACATTAAAAATTAATTAAAAATTAAAAAAATGTTTGCTCTGCTCCTCTGGGCTGCAGCAGAAGTCCAAGATGAGGTGGGGAAGCGCATGTTCATATTCAAGGGACATAGCTACAACACAACCAGGGAACTAAATATAGTATTTTGCATAATGCAGCTGATGACTGCAACTTGCATTTACAAAGAATGAAGCAAAAATACTAAGGATAAATACTGTTAATACCACTCTTAGTATTTGAACCAAGTCAGCCCAGAACAATACACAATGCCTGTATTTGGATGCAGAGCTAATGACTACCATATTGTAGTGCAACCTTGCCAAAACTGGTACTGTCCAGATGAGCTGAACTACAACTTCCATTGGCCATGCTGGTTGGGCATGATGGAAATTATAGTCCTCATCACTGCCCTGCTTCCGAGGGAGCAGGTGGCCGGAGAGGGGAGCGCAGGGCAGCTGCCCGGGTTGGGAGAGGGCCACGAGGAGGGTGGTAAGGGCTGCTTTCTGAGGCAAGGGGAGGTGAGGGATGGGGCTGTGGCTGACTGAGCAGGGCGCCTCTCGCCTCTCCCTGCTGTGGGGGGAAGCATGGCAGCTGCTCGACAGTGGCGGCTTGCTCAGAGTAGACCATGGAGGAGGCATGGTGTGGCAGCTGAGGCTTGGGTCGGAGCCTGGGGACATGGCTCACATAATTAAAAATAGATTTTAAATGTTATATTTTTCTTACCTTCTATCCTTTTTTAGTGTCTTCATCTCTTTCTCTCTTCCGCCCTCCTCTCTTCTGTATTCCCGCTCCATATTCCCACTCTGTATTCAGAGCCAATGCATGCGTGCAATGGGGGGGGGGGGGAGAGAGCTGGCACACGTGCAGTTGAAGGGAGCTGTTACAATTTGGTGCGTGTGCCAGCTCTCTGCTCAGTTTCAGAGAACTCCTGTGCTGGCTCAGAGCTTTCGGACTCACTCGGAGATCATTTTCTCCAAACAAGTCCAAAAGCTCTGAGGTGGACTGGGTAAATGCCCATGGCAGGCCGTATCTGGACCCATGAAATAAATACCCAACAGAAACTGTAGGAACTCTATAGTTGCTACGGATGTCTACTCCCAGATGGCAGAGCCCACCTATCTAACAGGAAGCATTGCTGCCAATACTCCATCACCTGTTGCATGAGCTGCCACCACCACCTCCTTTTCCTCCATGGTTTCATGTTTGTACACATGCAGCAGCAGTCAGTCAATGGACAAAGCATTGTTATGCATGGTATATTCTCAAGTGGCACTGAGAGAATGCATGTGCATTCCAGAAATGAATCATGCTTACATAATTACAAGGCAAGTTTGAACTAAAATGCATGTCCTGAGTTTTCTCTAATGCAGGTCATAATTGTTGAGTCATTCATGATGTAAACTGAGGTTTTTGTTTTTTTTAAATTCTACCACTTCCATTGATGATGCGTCATTTTATAATTGGAGAAATCTTAAATTTCTCTTAAATCAGCCCCCATTTTGTTTTTTAAGAAAAATCACAGAATTACATGAATGCCCTCTGGTGAGGGGTAGGGGATTTACATTTATAGACACTGCAGTAGCTCAGTCCAGGAAAAAATGGGGAGGGTTGCATTTCTCTGTTTTTGTCTACATTTTTATAATTCAGAAACATTGTTTATGGATCACTGTGATACATCCTTTGATGTTAAGTTATTGAGTTCTAAAACAAAAGTCATTAACAGAAGTCTGGCATATGGACAGTTTTTCTGAGCAGAACACTGTCTAAAATTATGGTTTTAAGCTTCAAAGGCACAGGAGCGGAAAAAGTGTGGCCCTCCAGATAATTTGACCTACAACTTCAAACTGCCCTCGGCAGGCTATCTTAATATAAGGGCTGATGGAGTTACAGTCCAACAACTTCTAGAGGTCCACATGTTCCCCATTCCAGAGTTAAACTAAACCAGACAAATTGAATATAAAATTGGCCACAAAGAGTACTGGTTAGTGTAGGGGCACACTTCACTGCTTTTCTTGGAAAAAAAAAAAAACCTGGGTTTAATTTTTGCTATCTCTAGGTAGGACTAGAAAAGTATTTTGCCTGAAACTCAGGAAAGTCATTGTCAGTCATTGCTGGCAATACTGGGCTAGACGGAGTAACAATCTAATTCAATGTGAGGTAGCTTCCTATTTTCCTAGGAAGTCAGGATACTTACCAGTAACTGTTGTACTTTGAGGAGCCATATGAGCTGAACCCATCATCAGGAAGCTTCTATAGCTAAGCATTCACTTGAGTGGGAGCTCTGTCCCTTCCTCTTCCAGGTTACCTGGGAAGGGCTCCTGCCTTTCTCTCTCAGTTCTGCTGAGACCAGCATAGGTCCCAGGACTGAGGGAGGAATCGTTGTGCCAACCCATTCACACAACCTTGTGTCCCCACAGCAAGCAAGGGGGTGATCATCAGAGGGACAACACCAAGTGGGGCTGGTGGATGAGCTGTAATGAATGCACACATGACAACTCAAAGAATAGATACAGACAAGCAACCTGACTTCCTTCATGGTCTCTATGTATCACACATATGGATGACTAGCAAGCTTACCTCAAGACAGAGGACTTATGTCATTACCAGAGTACAGAGGAAAGGATTGCTCTGCCAAAGGAGCTATCTGCCCTTGCATAGATGTCTACCCTGTAGTGCTTGGTGAATGTCAGGGGTGCAGACCCTGCGGCAGCTCTGCAGTCTTCTTGCAGGGGATTCCTGTGAGGGGGGCTATAAATGTGGCTCTGGCTCTGGTGAGGCTGAGTCAAAGGCCAGCTATCTCATAGGCCAAGGAAATAGTACACATGATCCATCCTGCTAGTCTCTGAGTGGAGATTTGGTTGCCTTTGTTCTGTCTGCCATAGTAGATGAAGAGCCTTGGTGAGTGGTGGAAGGATTCTGGAGCATTCTGGATGTCTGGATTAAGGTGGAATGCCGACATGACCTTGGGAAGGCTAGGTCTGGACAGAGCAATCCCTTGTCTCTATAGAAGGTGAGGGAGAGAGGACGGACAGGCACACAGCTGACTGACATGCCTGGCTGATGTGATGGCTAGCAGGAAGGCAGAGGTTGACCGTGGCAAGTGGTTCAAAGAGTTTCTGGATTAGAAAATGTAGCACAACTGAAAGGTTCCATGATGGCATACTGAGGCAGAAAGGAAAAGTTAGGTTTTGGAGGCCCCTCAGGAACCAGTGGGACAGAGGGTGTGAAAAACTAGAAACCCTTGTAACCCAGTTACACCCAGATGGAGGAGGATTTCAGTCCCTTGTGGAAGAGTGCCACAAGGGACTGAAAGAAGAGGAGGACATACTTGGCAATAGACTCTAGTGGGTCAAAGTTCTCTTGGTATGTGAAGGCAGTGAAACTAGTTCCATTTGGTCAGGTAAGATCTCCTTATAAATGGTTTGAGGATGGATGACTCTGACATCCTGAGACAGCGTGTCTGCACCATGATGTGCTATACTGCAAGGGCTCAATGCTGGGATAGAAAACTTGGTCCTGATCCCGAAGATCAGATTTGGAGTGTGTGAAAGGCAAATGAAGGCTTCGTGGCAGAGTGAGACAAAACAAGCAAATGTAGTTGTCTTGCTCACCATGGGGTGAAGATGCAGTCTGTCTTGTCTTTCCTGATCTTAGTGAGTACCCTCGTGATCAGGGGGTGGGGAGGGGGGAAGATGTAGAACAGAATCTGAAACTGTTGATATAGATTACCATGGCTATGCTGTCTGTGCAAGGGCAACTGTAATGTAATCAGGTCCTTGTGTATAGGTAGCATCTCCAGGAAGTTATGGGCCTGCAGGCCTCCTGGTAGTTCTAAGTCCTTGGGTTTGGAGGTTGCTCTAGTGGGCTCCCCCACCCCCGACAGAGAAGCATCTGTAGTGACAGTGACTGAGGGGTTGAGGGGAGTAAGGAGCTGGCTTCTGTCACCAGATTGCAATGGACAGTCCACCAGTGGAGGCTGATCTGGGCAGATGGACAGATGTCTAGATGTGCAATGCATGAGCTGTCTGGTGTGTGGAAGGTATGGATGAGCCATACATGAAGGGGGTCTCATCTGAAGTCTCACGACGGGGACCACTGCTACTGTTGCAGGCATGAGACTGAGAGGTTTCTGTATCTGGAGGATTGTGGTAACCATTCACACACTGAAGTTGGTGTTTAGTGCATCTTGGTTAGTGCAGCTCCTCTGGATACTGGAAGGAGAGCCTTTGCTAAGACTGAGTTGAGGTGGGTCCCTATGAAGAGAATGGACTGTGAGAGGGAAGAAAAAGATTTTTCATGATTTATACATCATCCTAGGGTCTGCAGTAGGGAGCAGGTGGGGTGGATACAGTCCAGCTGTTCTTCCTTGGATGGCATGACCAGGAGTCAGTCATCAAGGTACAAAATGGCATGTACTTCCTAGAGGTGAACATGTGAGCAGACTCCTGTCATACATTTGTTGAAGACCCTGGGGGTGGTAAAGGTCCAAGTGGAAGGACTGAGAACTGGAATGTCTCGTTCCCAATTTGGAAACATCAACACTGTATGTCTATAGTTGTGATCTATGGTGACATAAAAGTAGGCATCTTTTAGATCAATCAAGGCAAAGCAGTCCTCATCTTCCAGGAGTAAGA